CAATAGCAAAGTTCGCGTAATTAATTAGCGTTTCATTATTGTATTGATAAACAATGCGGCTATTTTAGATAGTTTAACATTGTTAAAATGTTTGTTTTGGTACATGGAAAACTTTGAATAATATTTTAATTAACGACTAGATAAAAAATTATGTCAACTGTTGTAGAGAAATCAACATCTTGTAGAAAATCAAGCGTTACTCAATTGGTAAATAATTCGTCAAAGGATTAGATCGTAAAGAATTATAGGTTTTAGGATATCAACGGTTTGATATTATAATATAATATAATTTAATATTCACTCATATTTAGTAATTAGCAAATAGAATAAATATTATATCATAATACAATCCGTATATAAACTATAATATTATCAAATAACCATTCTGAAGCAATTAAACACTAAAGATATACATATTTATAGAGGACACATTATTAATAATTCCATTCATATTTAAAATATTGAAATTAATACTTATGTATACGTAAAATATTATTTACATAATATTTACATTAAATACCATATATAATTTTTAATATGGCTATATAAATAAATGATTCTGCATTAACAAACATTAATCGGGGAATTCTAGTCTTTTTACCTCGCTTTTCACTGTATAGTAAAATCTGAAATTAAAACTGTTTGTCGAAAATTAAGTCAGATCTATTTTAAATTAAATTAAAGAACTTTCTAAGTAGTTTCCAAAAATATGTTTTTGGAAGCGTACATAGTAAAACGTAGTAATTTAATTGAAACGTAGTAATATGTAACGTGCGTAATTAAATAATTAAAAGTATCGTTAGATATATAAATTTATTGCGGATGTAACACATTTATTTCGAGAACTAATTGCATCAAGCTTGTTATATATTATTTTTACGTTTTCTCGTTTTAATTGTATTGGTATTTATTGTGAAATGTTATTTCACATGTACCAGAATAAACCGTACAGTTATTGTTCGCTATACAATTATTGGCCACTTGAATTTACGAATTGCCAATTAGGTTAATACTTTCGTTTACGTTGCATTTCGAGTTTCTCTATTCATGCCAGATCGCGTGTGTCTATATAAAGGAAATTGTAAATCATAAGCTTGTATAATAAATCCGCAGAAATAATTGGTAATCCGCATAAATTCCCATGTATCCTCATTATATGTTAACGAGAGAATTAATAGACGTAAATGTGTAGTTGTAATAAACCAATTATTAACAATTTATATTTAATAATAATCTATTTGAAACGTTTGCAAAAACAAAAATATTTATTTATATTTCGTATATTATGTCAGTTTCAACACAAAAAAAAGTGTTCTAACTCCATCTGTAAGAAATGTGACTGAACATTCTGCACATGAGTGCTTTTTTCACTTAACAATGAGCATGGAGTAACATTCCGTTTGATGAGGCCTTTTAAACGACATTGGAACTATCAGTCTAGAAAATTCGTTTCAATCAAGGCAGCTCGATTTGTTCGTTTGGTCGTCATGCGATTTACGAAATAAAAAGAAGTCAGAGGAGCCGACGCTTGGCGAGTACACGAAATAAAACGAATGAAGAAAAGGGAAAAACAAATTGAAATTTCAGCGTGTAACAATCACGCGTGCCCACTGTCTGGGATTTAGCGTACAAACGACCCGTATTTGCATTTCCGGCTACAATAGAATGCATACAAGATGATACATTCAGGCATTCCGCTTGGAATAATTGGACTAAAGAATAATTGTCGATGACACAACACGGAGATTTGAGATAATGACGGATAACGTGATCCAAAGTTAATGTTCAAATTATCCTCAATGCCGTTTTGTCAGCTATTATTTATTATTTAAGCGTTATTAATTTCCATGTATTTGCTGAGAAAATTTGACTCCAGATTATTTCGAAACGATAATGAAAAATTCCGAAAGTTTTATATAATATATTAAAAAATTTAATTCAAGACAAGAAAATAGATGATAAATTAACGATGGTAATCTGTATTATTAAAAATTGCCGTTACAAAGCAATATTGGCCCAAATATTGCTAAGGCATCTGCAATGTGATCGTACTGAGCAATTTAATTATCGTTTGTTCGTGCAGCCGATAGTGGCATTATCTGTTTTAGGACACGACAGCAATGAGAAAAGTAAACAGTCGCGTTGGTATGTTCGTAATTCGATGGACAATATTTAATTATTTAACAGTGGACGCATCTGGTGGACAGACAGTGTGACACGTGTCTGGAATTTCTGGTTTCCGAAACCGCATGCTCGCGGGAAACGCTAATCGGATATCGAGTGCTTTTTTCCAACAGAAATATTTCTAAATTTATCACGCAAAATCACTTTTTAGGATTAACAATAAGAAAGTTTGAATGGTCGAATAAATAAAACTGTGTCGAGATGATCAGTTTACCAATTTTGCCAATTTTGACGGTTTTACCTGAAGAGATATTCGGATACGACGTTTTATATGTTACTGAAGAGCGGTAGATAGATCTTTTTTCAGGATCATGGTAAAATTTTCCCCGCAGGGATGATCCGCGCAGTCATTTGGGTTTAGAGATCTCATGGAACTCAATGCATATATGTATATTGCGGATATTCACATGCAGACATTTGCACGTCACATATATCCACATATACGCATTTTTATGAGCGATATCCCAATAAACTACTGAGAAAAGGTGGAGGCAAGAACAGCGTAACTTAGAGAATATAACAAAGTAGAAGCCAGAATAAAAATAAGAATTAGACCTATACACGTGTTTCATACACGATAAGAAGAAACACGGTGGAAACTAGAGCTTTCCTTTAATCTTTATTCCTTGATTTAAAAAAATTACTTGTTAAAATTTATCTCTTGTCTGGGCTATTCGAAACCGCGATCATATCGAACATGCTGGCGTTTATTGAGAGCATAAATTCCAGTCGACAGCGAAAGAAATCTCCGTTTGAAGAATCGAATCGACGTTTCGCTCAACTTCGCTATTGCCCTATCTAGCAAACTACAGTTACGCTACTATTTACGAGTGACCAGGAAGAAATACGGTGTATCACGTGGACTTCGTTACAGATCGCGCCAAAAGCAATCGCGCGCGTTGTATTTCATTATTATCAGCTTTGGCTTCGATTCCCTTAATTGCTTTAACACTAGTATGCTTAAACCTCAATGATTATGAATTCGCATCTCTCCGTTTTTCTAAATTTCACGCTACTTTCGGTACTTAGCGTTTCGCCTGCCTATTCGCTACGTATTATGCTTCTCGTGAGTTTCATTAATATGCACATAATCATGCAACCGCATCGTCGTGTTTCTCGTTTGTCATAAATTGAGTCGCAAAAAAAGGATCATTAATCATTTGACATCGAATCGAGAGTAACGCGAGAGATGAGATTCGGTTGCCAATCTTCTGGCTTTAATTTATATTTGTATTTACCGTGTAGTAACAGTATTTGTATGTGACTGTTAGCATAGATCACTGTTAACAGCTTTAAGCGCAATTTCCCGATTATCAGCAATTATAATCGAATCCCGATACACCCGAAATTTACACGAAGTTGTTATCGTGAATCTAAGATAAAGCCATTAATTAAAGTTACGTCATAATCCGCATTAGATATCATCGGTATACAAAGCAGTATAAAATAGAATTATCAAGTGTACTTGCAGATGTTCTCCGTTACGGAGTCAGTGATAAATTAGAAATCGATGCATTCTTAAAGAAATATTCGTAGGGATGCGTTGTGGACGGCAAATTCTTAAAATGTTTAGTATCAAATATAAATTAAATATCACCCAGCAGTCGAGCTTCTAATAAAATTTCCATTCAGATTGAATTAGCTATCTCGCCGTGTCAGGTCAAATTCTTAGAAACAGCTCTGGTAACTGGCATTGTCCGGATAATTGGACGCCATTCCCATCTACACTTAGCGCGGGGCCCGTAAATGCATCGACGATTCTGGTTAGGATCGGAAAATTACGGAATCTTCCTCTCTTAACCTAACCTTAAAGGTCGGTCTACAATAAGGTTGTAGCGCAGTAGCAGTAGTGAGTAAGTTTTAAGATCGCAAGCCGTAACACGATTACTACGGCAAGGCTCATCTACAATCAATTGAGAACGGCGCTGTTGTGCTTTCGAGTTTAGGTTAAGAAAGAGGAATGATGGATGTGAGAAAAGCCTGCTTGTGGACAGAATCAGCTCACGCTGATCTAACAGATTTTCGTCGACCTCCATACAAAAATTATAATCTTGAATGCCGGCTTCCTCTTTGTTCGACATGTTTCACCATTCGTCGTTTTCGTCTCGCTGTCATAGACGTATTTCAATATGGCTACTGTGCTTGACTGCTCGCTATTCGCTGTAGATCGTAGGTCGTACGCCGTGAGAAATGGATTTGGTTCATTTCGCTTACAACTACTGTTACGACCTACTACACCGGAAGTCGGTCTCTTACGACTCACTGCTACTGCGCTAAAACCTGCTTACAACCTTATTGTAGACCGACCTTTAAAAGCGACCGACTAATATCTAGCGTTGATTGCGTCCACGCAGCGGAAACGATCGACAATCTAACGGTGGTTACACGGTGATTCGCAACAATGGTTGTTCACATCTTCGAGGAAATGAAATCGTCTCAACGGCGACGTATCTACATTTAAGCGACAAGAAAAGCCCCGTCGCAAATTGCAGTCCCGTTTCGCATGAAACGCCACGTCCTTTACTTCGGTTTTCAGATAGACATTGATTAAACCCTTCGCAAATTAGCAGCGAGACTAACCCTTCAACCTTCACAAAGCGCGCGAATTGCAGAAACACTCACCCCGCGATTTTTTAACTGAATTTCTTACAGACGTAAAAACAGAAAACGCAATGAATTAATATCTTTTCAAATGGAATTAATAGTATACCTTTTACAAATAATAAAAGGATATAGTTCTAATTGTCCATTCGATGTATCATCAAAATTATCGTCTAGAGATTAATTAATTATTGTGAAAACATCGAATGACTTACCGAAGAAACAGCAGACGAATACGATGGTGTATAAAGTGATGAAAATTACTTTCACGTCGGTCCTGTCGAAGATATAATCTTCACTCAATGACACGTTGTAAAGCAGAGTTTCGTTGTTCATGTAACTTTCGTTGTTGCTGATCTCATAAGGGATTATATTTCGATCGTTGAGAGTTCTGGAACAAAGAAAGTAAATTTATCTTTAATAGTATTCAACCATAAGTTGGAGAAATTGTGAACAAAATGTGAACAAATTAAAGTAATCTACTTAAAGAAAGAGCTACATATGTACGTAACGCGTCTCAGGTTCTCCATTATCCAAAAATTGTAAACTTTATATTTAAAAAGACTGGCAATGAGTAAAGAAAATTCTCTCTAGTAAATTTCTTATCCTCCGTTTCTTTTCAAGGTCGATATTAAAGTGTCATAAAATTTGTAAATTGATTTGCAAATTATAATTTCTGAAGGAGGGCAAATAAAATTTCTAACGGAGCTTTCGCGTGCAAACGATGGACAAGTGACTGTAAAAAGAAAATTTTAGATTTTACAATATTGGGGGCGAACTTTACACAGGTAACATTTATACCTTTTATAATATTATGTAACGTTACATAACAAATGTGCAGTTCCTGCGCTCAAAGAAATGGCAATTCAAATATTACTTTAACGATAGGTATCGTTACGGCTTTTCCATCTCTGCTTACAATCTTTACGTAACATAAAAATAAATTAAAGAATACGGTGCACACAGTTCTTTTCTTTTGTGTATTAAATCTCTATCACTCCCAGAATTGTGCGAACAAATATTGATTATGATTTCTGATTGTCGCACAATTGCGTACATCTAGTATACGAATACAATTTATCCAGGTGCCGAAAGAGACGACAGTTACGGATTTATAGGGGTATCCTGAAACGAATTGGAAGATAAAACGTTTTATAGTACTCCGATAATACTTGAATGTGTTCGCGATACACGTGGACGCAAATACGTATTTCTGTCTCGCGACGAATTTTATAGAATCGCAGGATTATATGGTTGACGAAATATCGCATTTATAGTTGAAGACTTTCGGCCTGAACTGTGACATACAACGTGTCGACAGAACTCCGGAATTTTTACAGCTCAAATCCAGACATACCTATAAATAAGGTCAAGCGCCATTATGCATTTCAATATCCGTCTACAATTGATAGCATTGAGTCAAGTTGAGCCATTAATTATAGTAGATGGACATATTGGGAGTCCCTGACCTACTGAACCAGTTTTTATTTAGATTTTACGATCAATTTTGACAAGATTACGAAGGAATATAACGTCGAGAACTTTATAATTTTTTAATTATAAATTGCACATTATAAACTAAATAAAAGAATTAAAAATAATAAATTTTTCAGTAGAGGCAGACCGTAGATAAAACTTAATCTTTTTCATTTATTGCTATTATTATACTTTATTTTTAAAGAGATTTAATAAACGTAAGAAGCTGTTCAATAAACGTAGGACGTTTATCAAATAGAATAAAAAATAAACCCCCCCCTCTCTCTCTCTCTCTCTCTCTCTTTCTCTCTCTCTCGTGAGACCTATTAAAATTAACAATTTTGAATATTATTTTCATTTGAAACAACGATTTAGCAGCGTCCAAAATAATGGTGCTTTTTGTGCCTCTAAAAATCTGTATAACTTAGAATTTGTGGCAGAATATGCGGCTGAGACTATGGTGCATAAGCATACGAAACGCACATTCGTCAAACTCATCCTTTCCTTCTACGTAATACGCAGCTTGACGCACATGTGCCATGTAAATGGACGCAGGTATGAGCCAACGGTGGCGTAATTGTACTTGTTTCGTGTTTATTACGTGCTCGCGTGACGTTACGTGGAAAGCGTAACAGAGAGATACGGGGTGACAGGCTATGGTTACAAGGCAAATGCGATCGTTCAATCCTATAAGCGAGTACAACGCGGATCGGCCGGAAATAGGATTATCTCTTCCGAATACGAGATTGGGACGTGCGATAGAATGTCATTGGTTAAAGTGGGCGAGTCGATAAAGGGCCGAAGTCGAACGGCCGATAGCGGGACACATGCGTGCTTGTTGTGCCATTTCTGCGTAATAATCGAATTACAAACACCACATTACAGACACTACATCGACTTTTAGTTTTGGGCAGTCTTTATTCAATATTTACAAGTGGCATGCACATCACTGAATTTAGATAATCGTACTTGGAGGAATTCGTTGAACTTTTCAACTTGTAAAATTTGTTTACGCGATAATCTTGATTTAGTATCTTCCGCCTTCCAGGAGTTTCTCGTGTTGACTTGCAAGGGCGAGCAATTAAATTTTCATTTCTTTCGAAACTCCTCGAGTTGAATCTTTTCTCGTAGCCCGTGACAAAGATGTTCACTCAAGATATATACACACGCATTAAATTATAAAAAAAACTTGGGTTCTTTCTTTTTTTTCAGAACGGGACAAAACGAATGAAATGGACAAGTCGCTAATGAGGACACGCTTGGACAACAATTAATTAATTATACAGCGTATTTCGCAAACTTACTTCACTTCGCTTTCAAAAAGCGAGAAGTTGTAAAAAGAACAGAATATACTGAATTCGTCATTGTTTTACTAATTTATTATGCAGCTTGTAAATGCGCATTTATTAATTGTAAGATGGATCATTTTCTGAATATATTTTACAGCACCATTACGAGCGTAACATTCAGTATTACCATCTATCATTTATACTAAGTTTATCGATTCGTACTCGTTTTATGTACGGATTTCCCATAAAAAATTGATATTTTCAATATCAGAGCACTATTATTAATTCCGAAAACATAAATGAAAAGTTCGGCATTAAAAGAAATTGGCAAATAAATAGCAGAAACCTTGTTCTTTGTAGCTTTTCAAATTCTTTGTTTAATAAATAACTTTAATAATTAACGACATTTAAATACGCAAAAACCTTTTTTTATTAATTCACGCAATAAATTTTGAAATAAATATTAGTGAAGCTTTACACATGCATCGTGAAATGTTAAATGTAATTAAGTTTTTGTTAACACGAAAGATTTTAATTTTACAAACTAAAAAAATACATATATAATAAAAACGATTTTATCGGAACAAGCATACAACGATGCAACGTAAAAGAGGAAAACCGATAGAGGAATATAACCAACACGATTTGAAATTACAATTCTTGTTATATACGCAAACAGCAAGATTAAAAGAGTATATGAGATTAATGAATTTTGTCGTGATCCCCTTTGCACTCGCCAATCCGTTTCCTGAGGCAATTATTACATCGTTGACCTCGTTAACAAACGCAAAAAGAAAAATATAATTTTACGAAGAGAAAACCGTGCACCATTAATGATTCCAATTACACTAAAAAGGATAGCAGTACTTATTCGGTTATTTATCGTCTTGCATAATTCAGTCGGAAAATTAACGCCCAACAATATAAATGCACAACGAAACCTGGTTTTACGGTTAATTTCAACAGACCTTTATCTTGATATCAAGGGCTAATCTACAATTTAAATATATCACATTTATGTTACTTAACCAAGTTTTTGTACAGACAACTCTTTTTATAAAAGAAATTTTATAAAGATATTTGTGATCAGTATTGCATGCTCTTTACGAACGGACTGAATTTTGAAAACAGCTTTTTCATACTTTCCTACTGGGTATTTATTTGTTCAGAGATATGTGACATACTGTAAAAAATTCCAATTGCAGCGTTTTATAGAAAACCAAGTCTCAGAAAGAGACACTTGTATCACAAATATGTCGCAAAACGACGCAGCTAATGTCGCCCGGTCGAATTCTCGGAGTTTCATTCGTTCTATTTATCATTAACATTTGTAATTGACGTAGGAAAATGATTGCAAGAGCCACGACAAATCTCCAAATATCCATCATTGCGCGTGAATGCGTTCCACCGAAAAGATCGTGCTCATAATAAAGCTGTTCATTCAATGTAACGTGACGATAAACCAAGTTCCTTTCCGCTTTTCTCGCTCGAAGATTACGCATTATCTTTGAATACGTAATAGCGATGACATGCACGTTGAACGAATACGTAACTCGGTGAACATATTTTATATAATCCTAATCAAGAATAGTGCTACATAATCATGCGTGTTCAAAATCCGTTGGAAAAACCAATAGCGACAGAACAGATGTTATAAGTAATTTACTCTGTCATGTGCAAGGTAAACACGATACGATCTGCGAGAGTGTGATAAGATTAAATGCAAAACTGGAATATTATTTTGCGCGATTGATACTACACGATCAAAAATACACGATTGATTTTAATCAGTAACATAAAAGATACTTTATTTTGTTATCTCAAATAATGATTCGCAGCTGAGGTACTAGAAGAAAATACATGGACTAGAATTAAAAGTTTCTTTCTTGCATTGCGGAAGACAGTAAAACAATTTTTCTCGTTCAATAATTTTTTGCGGATCGTGCGGAAATTAAAGGATAAATGGAAAGTTCATTCATAAAAACAATTATCTTCCCGTTTCATTCGCGTTGTTCAATCGCAAAGGTCGGTGGCGATGAGACGAAGAGTCGTAACGGATATTTCAACGAGGGCAAAAAAGCGCTTACTTTATTTAATTAAGGAATAAAACGGGTGTTCATTTACTAGCAAATTGAGTCAATTAAACTATTGTAACTTTTGCCACTCAAGAATGTAATAAAAAGATTTCTGCGTTACTTTAATGAGTAGGTGATGTCGACTTCTTTTATTTGCGAAAGAATTTCAAACTGTCATTCAAAAGTTACACGGAAAGAAATAGAGAGGGATAGAGATTAGTGATTCTTATATATTACAAATAATAATTTCGCTCGTGTTATATTAAAACAACAAGTAAATAAAGGAGGCCAATCTTGACGAGCACGAAAGTTAACAAAGCAATATACATTTTAAACTTCAAGATGTTACAATTGAAGTACAGTTCCGCGTTGTAACATCTTGAAGTTTAAAATATACATTGCTTTGTTAACTTTCGTGCTCGTCAAGATTGGCCTCCTTTATTTACATGTTGTTCTTATATATTATTTTTACCGTGAAAATCGGCTGCGGTAACTCTAAAAGAAAACTTGAAACGTTGATACAGTCACTTTGTTGGATAGCTCAAATTTTC